AGATCATTCTTTGTTCAGGGAAATTGGCACGAAAAGATTAGACCCTGAAGGCCGTGTGTTAGTGCATGGACATGTCCCAGGGGAGGGAGGCGGTCACTCGTGAACAGTAGCACGACTCTCCTGGCTGAAACCATCCCCGACTTGCTCTTCCGGCTGGCCAAGGCCTCACAGCCAGGGCCAGCAGAGGAGGTCTTTCATTCTGGGAGAATCGAATCCATCAATTCCACCAGGGCTGTCCGTGAGTCCATCACAGGTGACCACAATGGTGGGCCTCACCTGGCCAGGGACAGTGGGCGATGGACAAGGGGAGCCGGATATTTTAATGGCTGTGAGCTCGACATTGGCCACAAATGAGGCACGGTTGCTGCAGAGAGCCCATGAGTCCGTGTCTTTTTGAACAGTGACCATTCTGACCACAGGCAGGCCCCTCGAGAACATGTATTGTTCTGGGAGCTGAACCATAATGAAAACAAGTAACAATAAGAATTCTGTTGAAAGGTGATTTTCCAGAAGGTTAAAAAAGGTCCAGGAACCGTATTGTAGAGGAAGATGGGAGCAAAAGGGAAAAAGAAACACCGAGAAGGGTCACAATGGCCAGTTTTAAGAATTTGCTGGCCTCTTCTGGGATTGCCCCCCTGCCTCACTGCAGGGGAACTTCACAACAAGCCGAGACTCTGATGATGGACCAGCTGCTTTGCAGAGTAGTGAGCTGCCCGTCCCAGGAGGGGTTTAAGCGAGTCCAGGGAGTCTGAGAGGGTCAATGGAAAGGGGCATCCCTCATTAAGACACCAGACTGCATCTTCCAACCTGCTTTTTAACTCAGAGGCCGAGAGACAGTGGGCCGCTTGTATTTTCTGAGGCCCACCGAAGTAATTAAAAAATGACGAAATGCCAAAATAGGTTTACAAAAATAGTGATGTATCTTAAATGTTTGCCGTTAACGATATCGCCCTTCTAACACACACAACCATGCACGGCAAATGCTGTTCACAAGACGGGACTCCCTTTTAAAGCTTCATTCTGATGGGGTGCCTGGGGGGCTCAGGCAGTTGAGCAGCCGACTCCTGATTTCAGCTCACGTCATGATCTCACGGTCTGTGAGTTCAAGCCCTGCCATCAGGCTCTGTGCCACCAGCTCAGAGCCTAGAGCCTGTTTCGGATTCCGTGTCTCCCTCTCTCTCTGCCCCTCCCCCGTTCATGCTCTGTGTCTCTCTGTCCCAAAAATAAATAAACGTTGAAAAAAAAAATTAAAAAAAAAAAAAAAAGAGTTGGATGCTTAACCGACTGAGCCACCCAGGCGCCCCTCCATAAGTCATTTTAACAGCACACTGACTCCCAGTTGCTTGCAGAGGGGCTCCGTGTATTGCACACACACATGCACACACACCGACGAAAAGCTGCAGGGTGAAAAAAAACAGACACTGCTCACCACTTACTAGAAAACTCTCTAAGGAAGCCTTCTTCCTGGAGAACAGAGAGTTCACCTGCCAGGTTACGTAGGAAAGAGTCGCACTCCCCCATTAGCCTCGCTTGGGGGCGCTAAAGCTGGACAGAGGCTGAATGTGTCCCTGCTACCTCCCCGGGCCCCCGTCTGTGTCCAAAGTTTAAGGTTGGCTCGAGCAGCGCTTTGAGGTTTGCCCTGTCTACATCTGCGGCTTTATTTCTTCCCCATCCCCACCCCCGTTAGTGTTCAGGATGGAGAATGTGCAGGGTTCTGTCCGCCAGGAGCGCTGTCCACATTTCTTCCTCCTGTCCCCTCCCCTTCCCTCTGTGGTCCCCCCCTCAGCTGGGGGCTGCCTTCCTTCCCACCCCCGCGCCCCACCCCGTTAGGTGCCCTGGGAGACCCCAGCGTAGTCCCTCAGTCCCAATGGCACAGCGGGCCCCTCATATTGAACCCCCGATGCCCAGGCACATCACGGAGGGAATGAGGGACTAATGGGACGCTAACAGTTCCAGCCGTGTCCTGGCACAGCGTGGCTCCTGTGTGGCTCCTGCGTGACAAGACACGGAGCAAGAGGCTCCAGTTTTCTGAATTGCCACGGCAGAGCTTTTCTGGGGCCTCCTCCCCAGTATACCTAGGGCAAGGCCTCTACAGCCAAGCTCATGGTGAACGTGGTACCTCTGGCTGCCCTGTGTTTGGAACAAACTCCTTCCATTTCCCTGCTGCCGAAGAACCAAGGTGAGAAAACCAGGACAGCAAAGGAGTTAGTAAGAGAAAAAAATATCAGTCGTTTTCTTTTGCCATGTGCTACCCACCCAGAGTTCCAGGAAGCAAGGCTCCCTTTTGGACTGGGTGCTCCGTGGCCCCAACTTGTCTCCCCGAGGGCCCAGCTGCACCTCTAAAATCCTCTCCCGCCCTGAGCACAGGAGATGTGGAGCACGGTGTCACCAAAGGGTCCCCCAGTGCTTGCTGCCTGCCCCCGGCTCCCGCCCTGGGCCACCACAGTCCCTGGGGCCAGCCCCGCCCTGCCGCAGACAAGTCCCTGCCAAAATCTGATGGGGTTAAGGCAGGCTCCCTGGAAGAAAAGCCGAAATTACATAGTACTGTGTTTTCTTTTTGAACAATCTTAAGCTCACAGAAAATCGTCAATTCCAGCATGAAGACCATTTGCCCCCTTAGTCGTTTGTAAGTTGTCAGCCCGACGCCCCATCACTGGCTTCATCCGACAGTGTGTGTCTCCTCCAGGCAAGGCCACTGAATCCGTCATACGGAATCACAGCGCACCGTCCAATTCGGGACAGCAGCAGGGACACGTCACAGCCACGTGCCGCTCGGGTTTCTCTGACTGGTTCGGTGGCACCCTTGCGAGCGGAAGGGGCCAGAATCCCAGGCTGCGTCTGCTGTTCCGTTCCTTCAGTCTCCTTCAGTCCGAGACGGTTCCTCAATCACAGTCTGGCCAGTTTTAAAGAGCACAGTTTTGCAGAAGGCCGCTCAGTTGGGTCCGTGTGATGTTTCTTTGGCAGGAATCTCCTGGACATGGGGGTGGGGGTGGGGGTCTGCGTGCTTTCCGTCTGTCCCTCGATCCCTGATGCTTTTACTCTGCTCACTTGACGAAGGTTGGTGGCGGCCAGGCTCCTTCCCCGTGCGCTTTCTCTTTTTCTCTTGGTAAGTGGTAAGTATTTTGTGGCCAAGTAATTCGAGTCTATGAATAGAGCCCGTTCTTCATCAGATTTGCAGTGGATTCATTTGCTTATTTACGTCTGTGCGTGCTCAGCTCTCCTACTCCGTGTTGCTATGGCTCTTTTGCTGACTTTCGGCCCCCCGGAAGCTCCCCCGAGCTGGCTCCCTGTGCTGCTGGCACGTTCCCATCATTCCTTAAGCACTTTCCTGCTATCTGGCCAAACAAGTTGTTCTGGGCTCCTTTTTGACTTTCCCTGCCCCGGCCCTGGAATCAGGCCTGTCTCCCAGGTGCTCTGGTGGCTTTTCGTGGGAGGCTGTGTTTCGAAGCCAGTACTTGGAGGCTAGGAGGGCTCCAGGCCTTGGAGGAGGGGTCCCTGCTCCACGGCCCTCCAGGGATGGCTAGGGAACAGATGTGCGCATTTCCACCTAAACGTACCGGTTAAAGACCCAGATGGATTAAAGACCTCAGCGTCAACAAGGAAAGGGTATCTTAAGAAAATGTGGGGCACCTGGGTAGCCCAGTCGGCTCAGCAGCCAACTTTGGCTCAGGTCATGATCTCGCAGTTTGTGGGTCCGAGCCCCATGTCGGGCTCTGTGTTGACAGCTCGGAGCCTGGAGCCTGCTTCGGATTCTATGTCTCCCTCTCTGTCTGCCCCTCCCCCACTCGTGCTCTGTCTCTCTGTCTCTCTCTCCCTCCGTCAAAAATAAATAAACATTAAAAAAATTAAAAAAAAAAACCCTTCTGTTAAATGTATGGGTTCGTCTTTACATGTTGAAGTCCACCCTGACACATCCATAGCTTTGATTTTCATCCTACACCATACAATTCATTCTCGTCTCTG